AAAGAAATAACCTCACACAATACCATTCATATAAATTTTACGTAAAAAAGTTCGCTAACTCAAGATAACTCATTGCGTGAAAGTTATCTGACTTGACGTAAAATATTACCCCCCCACCCCCCCTTTCTAAGCCCCGTTCCATTCCGTACCACTCGCCCTGGTACCTCAGTACGTACAGTCGCCAACCATTCATTGCCCAGGACGGCATTCACGATTACACCCGAGTTGTACAATTCGTCAGCTGGCCAGACACCGAACACGCGCGGGGCATCGATCCCCTGAACGACGCCTTCGTTCGGGAAGCTAGTTCATAAATCTTTTGTAAACGTGTCAGGCGTTTGTATCGATAATCGCGTCAGAGCGATCGATCAATCTCGATTCAAATCTCAGGCCAAATACGCGACGAATATGAAACGATTTGCCTGTAGTGACTGAGGAAATCCAAAAAAAAAACATCAGTCCTGAAAGCGTTGTTAAATAAACATGATTAAGATACTTGAGGGCGAGAATGGTATTGAAGAGAAAATTAATCTCGTGATCTCGCGTGTTATCAAAAGACGTAAAGTTCGAAATATAAAAAAAAATATATTTTACCTGTTGTTTTGTATAGACGCGAAAATTTTTCTTTAACATTTTCGGATGAATACAGACTCGAGGCTGTTTAAAGAGGGTAATATTTTGACGTAAGACGGATGAAGCGACAGGTGACTTGAGAAAAAATACGTAACGAGGAGCTTCATAATTTGTATCATGATTATAATATTAAGACGATAAAAGATGGACGGGACATGTAGTATGCATGGGGAGACGACGAGAAATGCAAAAGAATTTGGTTCGAAATCCTGAAGGAAAGAGACCACTCGAAAGACACAGGCATAGATGGAAGGATAATATTAAATCGGATCTTTAGGGAAAACAAAAAATTCGACGATGTGGACTGGAGTCACCTGGCTCAGGATTTGTGAACATTAAATTTCTCAGAGCAAATTATTAAGGCCCTAAAGGACTGTACTCCATGGAGTCAGTCTAATGTCGGCTTCGTTGTAGATTTAAAACTTCCTTTCGCGATGAAAGCGTAAAGAAAGGAATTCAGATGTTACTAATTTCGTTTTGAGGTCGCCAGGTTTTGAATTACCACGATTCGATACGTTCTTGAGTCGATTGGAAACCAGAAGATGCACTTAATAATTAACAGATTAGTTTACGAATAAAATAAAAATAAAAATAAAACCGATGAAATACGCAAAAGACACAGAAAATTTCTGAAATACCGACAGAGAAGACGAAGTCTTTCGAGCAGTAAAATGCAAGCAGATATAATAATTGACCTAGTTTCTGAGATAACAACGCAAAACTTTTTAAACTTTTTTATGATACAACGCAGTTTCACGTTTCTATGGAAACACACGCCGTATAACTCATAGTAGTTTGCAGGTCAACCTGAAATAATATCCCATAACAAATTTGTAGCCACGGCGATTTCAAAATTGCAGATTTCGTACGAGGGGTTATCATTAATCAGTTATTTATCCGCTTATCATCCAATTATCAGAACGAAATGATTAAAAACAGACGAAAATCTTATTCGCCGTCCTGTATTTAAAAATCAATGGAATGAAAAAAAAAAATGCATTCATGACGTCAGAGACGAAACACGTAAGACGTAGTTTTTATTTCAAAATCAGCGAGGCAAATATTTCTGAAAGTTCGTAGTTCGTCCCCCCCAAATCGTCTGAAAAGGAGAATACACACAAATAGAGAAGGACGAGCCTCGGGCTCGAGACGGTCGAGGCGTGCGAGTGGCATAACTTCAGGGCGTTAAACCTCGCATACACAGAGTTCAGTTGTGTGTGAGCCAACGTCTAATCGCTTCTACACGCGATACGATAATGATTTTCATTCACATGCAATGTACCTAATTTATCACGAAGCAGACGGCGGAATGGGTAACCCTGGAGGGAGGGAGGGGGTGGCAGTTATCGCGGCTGGCGTAGAGTACCCCAGCGAGCTTAGTTCGCGGCAAACCTTCCTGCTTACATAACAAGAGCTTTTATTACAAATGTCACTGTTCCAGACACATCCTATCGTTCATATTTAATGATATTCAACGATCGCGTAATTCACTTTGAAAAAAAAAATATATGGGACCTGTCGTCTGTCGGGTTGTTACAACGTGAATTCTAGCAAGAACCTCTGAAACGTCGGTAAACTTCTGCCAGACTACACGGCGCTACAACCCAGAAGACAGAAATCTTCGGACTCACCGCCACGAAAACCTCAAAATTTCACTATCAATACTGTAACTAACAAACAAACAAACAAACTAACAGACATGGCGTTACATATGACAATTTAACACTGAAGTATATTAAGTGATACAAGAGGAAGGCGTAATTCAATGAGAATACAAGGCGCGACTGACTGAAGGCATTTTTTCCTCAGTCACTCCAAGCAAATGCCAGGATATACCTTAAATTAGGCCACGACCACTTCCTTCACACATCCTTTCTGATTCATATAACAAAGACTTACGAGAATGAAAACTTTAATGACATATTTAAAGAGCGCACATCAATTTATGATTTGGTGCGCTGGGAGGTTGAAGAACGCTGACGCAGGCCAAGACTCGAGAATTCCTACCACTGGACATCGGGACCTGTCGACGTCGCTCCGGCTTTGAACTGTCACGTGAACTTGGGTCTGTGTGGACCTGCGTCGCTGAAGAATTCCGACCGGTACAGAAGAAGACAATGAATCCTTGGCAACTGCAGCTTGTGAATCACCGGGTCGGACCAAACCGGCTTTGAACCAAGCAACTAAAGGATTTCTGAACTGAATTCTCAGCTGGTCCAGAGGAACGATAGCAGCACGAGAAGTTTCTAAACTGTTCTTAAGACGGCGCGAGAAAATACAGTTCATTAAAATACAAAAAACAATAATTATGGAACACGCCGACTGACGTGCTCCGCGGTTCAAATCTAAGCCAAGATCACGAGAAAACTTTTCTAACTGCATTTTTTTATGGCTGACCTCAGTTTCTTTTGAAGCAAATGACAAGACGATGTCACGACCGGTCATTCCAAATCTTTTACCCAGCGACCGTTGATGATCAACTTTACGTGCAGAGACGGCCGTCTTCTGGGTCGAAAACTTCTACGACAACTACGCGGCGCAACCAACTTCATATTCGCTGCCATGAAAACCAGAAATCTCAGCCTGCGGGAGGAACGAGGCCGTTAAATATCTGCGTGTCGGCAGAAACCTAAGGAGATTTGCCACCAACAGCTGAAACCAGGGCGAGACAGAAGGCTGATCCATAATTAATTAAAACTCTGAGAGAAAAAGACAAATGCTCCCGGGCGCTCAACTCCAAAGCTCGCTAAGCCGATTCAAGTTTACATCCTCAAATGCACTTTCGTACCCTCCATGCTTACGTCAATCCTAAAAATGGTCACTTTGAAAAAAGGTTTCCTCACAAAAATTTTGTATACATTTCTAACCCCCACATCAGATCTAAATATTGTCAAGGTCTTCTTCTCATGCCCAAAAAAATCCCAGGTGGGCTCTGCGAAGCATGTGAGGCACCACGCCATACACCGCATTCGACACGCACTTCGCCTCTCTGAGACGTCAGTTCAAACGCTACGAGAGCTGTGGTAGGAATCGCGCGGCGAAACAAAATACCTGTAATGTGCGAGGCCGGCGACTGACGAGTAATCAGCTGTCGGCAAATCACACTTACAAGTAACGTAATCCTCACGACTGACGATCGCTGTGCTAGCGACGTCCGTCGTTAAAAATTTCTCGTCTAAAAAAATACCGACGAAACCCAAAACCCAAAATCAGAATGGAAATGGCAGACAGAAAGAAAGAAAGAAAAAGAAGGATGTTAAAGCCGCGTCCCAATTCTCATTCAACCGATATAATTCAATGGAAAATCCGACGTCACGAACAAAACTCCGCTCTTACGCCAGCGTAACTAGAAAAGTAGCAGAATGAAGCAAAATTACAATCCAGAATTTATTAATAGAATCAGAAGTTTGAGATATACGGCGACTGGAGGATCGCGTCGGCATTAAAATTTAACGGACAGAGACCGAACGCAAAATGAGGCGGTCCGACCAGGTACTAGAAGACGCCGAGACGAGACGGAAGCCGAAGAGGAGAGACGACGAAGTTCTGCGAGACTGGGGGTCTTTCTGTCCGCTGACCCACGCAAATGAAAATAAAGCCAGAGGAGGAGGAAGAAGAAAAAAGATCATCCCCTCACAGCTCCATTTTCAGAGATCATTTCTAAGAAACGAAGAGGAGAGAATTTTGTTTCGACTGTCTGTCGTCTCGCCTACCTTGCTGAAGTAGCCGACGGTGTGGCACCCCTCGGAGTCCCCGATCGTCATGACGTAGAAGAGGAATGGCTCCACGTCGTAGTAGAGCGTTTTGTGGTCCAGGAAGAACTTCGCTAAGAGGCACAGGTTCTGACAATACTGCTTGTATCGCTTGCCGTCAACTTCCCAGACGGACAACTTTTCTTTCCTGCAGACCAAAAAATAATTATCTCGTCAAAACGGAATCAAAGTCTTTTAATATAAAGGCATAAAAAAAGGGGGTACAGAATTTCGATACTGGTCTTACGGATTTGGATTCTGTGTGAAATCCTCGATCAATCGGAGTTACAAAACTTAAACCTTCCGTTACACGTCGTTCAGTTACAGGATCACGTCAGTCATCCAGAGTTCATTTCAGATGCTCGAGACGTGCAAATCTGCGGAAATTATTAATCCGTCCAGATCCTTTACCTCGCAAGATTTCAGTAAATTAAATTACTCGGCCGTAACGTCGCTCCGACGTCGGAAATCCACGTGGTTGCTACGTCGCTATTACCGAAATCAGTAAATCAAAAATGTACAAAGGCCGAATAACCTCAAACAGCACGACGTCAACGACCATTCTTTTCAAAGTCCATTAATCAACCTTCTTCTTTTAACATCGTCTCAAATAGGTTGGCGGTACTGTGACCCTTTACATTCTTCTTGTTGCGTTTCTCGACCGTTAATCCGGTCTTCCGGTGCCTAATATTTTCTTCCATCCTTCTGGAGGTAGTTTCCACTCTTGTAATTCCGTCATTCCACCCTGGTCTCGATCTTCCTCTCTTCCTTCTCTCTTTTGGTCTCCATTTCATAGTCTTCTTTCGTAACCTTTCCTCCTCCATCCTTTGCACGTGTGGTCTTTCCTCCATCTCCTCAATTATATCTCAATCCATCCTAATGAGAAATCCTCGATATTCCAGCCGCTCTTCTTACGAAATCCATTTCCATTATTCTCAACTTATTTTTTCCCCTTTACATTCTTAGAAGGGAAAATAAACTAGAAAAAATGATTGGGATTGGGTCGAGAGCGAAACGTCAAACCTATGGTTTCCGTCCGTTAGCAAATGGTAACAAACCTGTACACTTCTTCTCCCGGTGGATGCCTCCACACGCACTTAACCGTGTGCCTCTTCAGGATGGTGCGACTCTTCATGTACCGCAGGCAGTACTCGCAGAGGTACAGTTTCGGCACTCGGGCGTAGTCGTCTGGATACGGGCTCTGGTACCAAACTTCGACTTCAAACTTCCCTATTTCGATGTATTTCGTTCCCTTAACGTGAGGCAGGCTTTTGAAGTCTTCTTCCTAAACAGCGACGGAGAGAAAACAAAACAGAACATGATCGACATTGCCGACGAAACATAAATAATACATTTGTGTGGCTAGGTTACTTAACCACGTAACAGAGTTTGAAAATCCGCTGATTGAATCCTTCAGACTTTCCCCCCACCACCCATCAAACGACATGCGCACACGCATGAAATTGTGTCACGTGTTCAATTTGAAGTTTTCACGGTGGTCTGGGTTGTCTCTGCTGCTCCATCATCATCGCCCTGACGATGGAGGCAGCAAGGACCTCTGAAACGTCTACCAGACTACATGGCGCAACAACCGAGCAGACAGCCATCTTTGTGACTCCTGTTATTTCATATACGTGTGTGCAACCGGTGTTTAGCCCTGCGTTGAGACCGCCTCTTATCCGAAGGGTACCGGGGTCTTTTAACCGGGGGTAAAGTGTGCCGAGGTCAAGAAAAGTAGGAGCTGTATGTCCTATATCTACAAGCGGCTACATGGAATGTACGGCGACAGTTTTTATTTTTTTACAAGACATCATTAGGATGAAACGAAATGGGAAGGGAATGTCGCATGCATGTGAGATGAGAAATGCGTACAGAATTTTAGTCAGGAAACCATAAAAAAAATTTGGGGGGGAAAATCAACACTTACATGGGTGGAAAAAAAATTACTGTCATAAAATATTTCTTGGGAAAGACTAATTTGACTTTGAATAAGGTAGGTTCTGAGGAAGACAAGGAATTTTCAGGTTAAATACTATTTTCAAAATGACTCTGTTCCACAGACTTTGCCGCTGGTTCCGCTTAACGCCTTCAGTGACGTCAGTAAGCCACACATTCCTTCCTGAACATATATGACTGGACTAAAATGGCTCAAGACCAGGTCCAGTGACAGGCTTTTGTGAACAAACTCATGAACCTCAAAGTTCCATACAAAGAAGACCCCGAACATCGATCTCGGTAAATGCAAACTTACAATCTTTTCGCTGGCGGCAGCCTGGGCTTCTTGGAACAGCTTAAGGTCATACTCAGACGTGATGTTCGTAAGGTGCGGTTCACGTTCACGATCCTTCTCTTCGGGCGCACTGCTATCCGTTTCGGGATCGCTATTATTGTTGTTACTGCGTCGCTCGGACTTTGCCCGCAACTCCTTTATCTTCATCTGGTAGTGACGCTGTTCAATTGTCAAGTGGTGCGACTTTGGTGACTTCTTGCTTAACACCGCCACGGCCTTGCGACGATCTTCCTCTCGTTTACGACGTTCCAAATAAGTGTCCTGAAAAATCAGTGAATTAATTTATCTATCTATATAATAAAAATAAAATCTTGCCGTGTGAGTTTGTGGTAATATAACGCACCCACCAGGTGGCTCTGCCAACCATATAATAAAAAAAACACAATGTTTTGCGTGTGAGATTAATGCAGGAGCGAATGCACGTTAATTATAAATACGGCAACACTTGAAGCAAAGTGTGAACACCAACAGAGACACCAAAGAAGTGTCCTGTTCCATAAGAAAATTCATCAATAGATACAAAAAAACCCAGTACGAACATTTCCGAAATGATTTTGAATGAAGTGAGGGTTTTAGGTAATTAAATGTTATACACAGCTTTATAACACGGTTAGTAGTCACACGATACGGAACAACGAACGGATTACGAGAGTAACGAAGATGTTAGACTAGAACTGAAAACGAAAACCTCACCCCAATTGCTTTATTAAACATAAACCCCAGGGCAGAAGATGTTAGTCGGACCAAAAACAAGAGAGAAGTAACAATCTTTGTGCCCATAGCAAACCGATATCCGAATACATGAAACTGGAGATAATGACGACATCCAATTACCTTACACTCTTGTGACATTTTATTGTGGTACTTAGGACAAGCGTCAATTGTGAAATGTTTATCAGCTCGCCCTCCGAGGTGTCCCATCGAGTCGCACCCGTCAAGAGGACAGCGGCGTTCCTCCAGAGCTGGAGTCTGTGAGGCGTCGCTGTTAGCAGCCCCGCTACGACCCTTAGTTTTCCTCGGACATGGACCTTTCGGTCCGGCAGCTTTCTTTACAGGAGACTTGCTTGCAGCACTTGCGCTCGTCTTGCTCTCTGTAGAAACAAATGATCCTGTCACATGATTCTATTAGCCACAGGAACCTGCATTTACTTTGTTCTTGATTTATTACGTAGTCTTAACAAAAACTGGGATATACTTTTAGAAAAAATTTCTCCAAATTCAAAATTCATGGAATATCATCGTGACTTTCTCGAGATGTTACGACCTGTAAGAAAAAAACAATATTCAGTTTTTTATAGTAACGCGAGAAACATACCACTTTCAGATTCCGTGTCGCTCGTCTTTCCCACGAGATGCTTGCTCCTGCGCGCGCTCAATGATCGGGTGAGCTTCCGTGTGATCACAGCGCTCTTTGAGCCCTCACCATCGCTTTCAGACATAGGACCTGATTCGACCGCTGACGACGGTGCTTTTGACTGCGGCGGTGTCTCAACCCGCGATCTAACACCGGGAGGAGCGGCTGATTTCTTGATAGCCGCAGTCTTCTTGAGAGTTTGTTTCGTAGTGGCAGACGAATCTGCCGACGAATCTGAATCCGAACTGCTATCTGCAAGACAAATTTCCAATCGATCAGTATAGCCAACACACCTATTTATCTTTGGTTACGCTTATGCAAACACGATGCTTAGTTCCAAGTACCAGAATATTAATTTCAAAGACAAGATCTGAAAGCAGAAATTTACAAGAGAAATTGGTAAAATTAAGGAAATGTCTGCTTAGGAACTGACAAGATTAGTTTGAGACCACAAAATATGGAGATGACATATAATTTTACCACTGCTGAAACCGGAGACTGGGTAGAGGGAAAAAATTAGGATATACAAAGAGAATTTATTGGAGGAAAGAGAAGAGAGGTGATTTTTGTTGGTCCGCATGGCACCGGAACCCAAAGATCATCATCGACATCATCGCTACTGTGAATAATCAACGTTCGCTCAATCAGTTTCTAATAAGTTACTGCAACTGTTACATGTACGAGGCTCGTCCACAAAGTAAGTTTCCCTGGGGCCGTTTACAGAAACAAAGCACAATTTCATGGAAATATTTATTGCAACAGATACAGCAAGTGTCCAGCTATTTTTCAACATATTCGCCACCGGAATTGAGACATTGGTCATACCGTGGGACCAACTTTTGAATACCTGGGTCGTAGAAGTCTGCCGCCTGGGATTGGAACCACTGTGTGACAACCATCTCCGCCTCTCTTTCATTCTCAAAACGCTGACGCTGACCGGACAGGAATTTCTTGAGGTGTAGGAAAAGATGGAAATCACTGGGAGCGAGGTCCGGGCTGTAGGGTGAATGATTAAACACCTCCCAGCTGAACTCCTGCAGGAGACTCGCTGTCCGTTGAGCCGTGTGCGGCCTAGCGTTATCACTGACCGCACTTCACAGTCGGCGGGAGCTGGAATAAGAACCTCCATCTTCAACAGCTGCAACGATGCTACTGTGAGAATGCGGGAAGTGCCGTTAGTGCATGCGCCATGCTACGTCATTGCTCTATCACGTACGCACAGTCGCTTCGCGCAATATAAGGTTTGCTAGCTGTGGGACGAGTGGGAAATTTACTTTGTGGACGCGCCTCGTACTTAGTCAGAGCAAAGTTGATTTTGCTATTTATTTTAAATTCTTACTCCATAAACTTACGGTAAAACGACTTCTGTATTATGACAAGTGTTCTGCCGGAAGCCTTACCTGACGATCCCGACGAAGCAGAGGTAGAAGAGACGGAGCTGGCACCTGATTTGCTGGGTGGGGTTGGCACAGTTTCAGATTTCACAGTTGCTTTTGCCTTTGGCTTCACAGCACCTGCACTTTTTGTGGCGGTATTTTTCATCGGGTTCAACTTAGGAGGGGGCGTTGTCTGGTCATCACTTTCACTGCTATTTTCGGGGCTAAAAATACTTTTCGTCTTCAGCTTCTTCTGCGCACTAGTGTCAGACGGCTGCTTGCTGGATGCTGAAGGCTTAGATGCTGCATCTTTGTCTGATGTAGATGATTTCTTGTTCCCTCCGCTATTAGAATTACCGGTACCTTTAACTGCAGTTTGTTTTGAACCGGTAGCACTAGTAGTTTTGGGGGTCTGCTTTGTCTGTTTTGTGACTAACGTTACTGTAGCAGTCGCTTTAGGTTTTGCCGGAGGCTTTCGTTTCGGGTTTGGTTTCACTTGAGATTCTTCGGACTCCGATGAATAAATTGGGTTTGATTTTGATGTTCGTGATTTGTTAGGTAACTGTACTTTTTCTTTACTTTTTGCTGTGTCTGTTTCATTTGAGGTGTTAGTAGTGTTGCTCTGTGATTTGGAAGAGACTGATTTCTTCTTAGATAGTTTGTTGCATGAATCAGAATCTGTGGATCCATGACCACTCTTTGCTGCACTTGCTTGGGATGTGGAAGAATTCTCTGAATCTGATGAACTGGAATCAGTTCCGGATGATGAAGAGGAACTTGAAGATGATGATGAACTATTGCTTGATGATGCTGACTCTGAACTCGTCACATTAGGCTGCTAGAACGAAACACATAGCGTTCTAAATAATGATTCTGTCCATAAAGAATAACTAACAAGTGAAGTCTTATATAGATTCAGGGTCTGCTGGGTAATTATGCTGTATATTTTTCAGTATAAACTTACTTGAGGATAGGCTTGTATATTTATAGATACTATAAATTACTTCTTTTTTAGACAAATTTAACAATAATGTCTCAAACTACTCTTCTGACAATTGGGAACTCAACAATTTATATATATAAATCATATGGTATTACAGGGAATATAAGGTATTAAAAATACATTACACAACAGCAACGTAAACCTCAGAAAAACACTGCAGATGTGTACAAACAATTACGATAACGCGGTTTAAACATCATAGGCGTATTAATAATGAGAAACACAAAACATAGAACTTTACCTTTTTCTTCGGCGTCATTCTTCCTTACATTTACACACAATTTAAGTTAAGAAATATCAAACACCTTACAAAATCAACCAAATTTTCTTTAAGCGGTAGCCATCTTGAAAAGCAGCGATACCACGTGGTATGCGACACGAATAATACCAACATAAGGGTATAACAGTATTACGCAGAGAGGATTTGGTATAAATGCATAGTTTCACCACTAGAGTGCTCTGTTCATGCATAGTTCCATATTGACTCAGAAGATAGCGCATGCTTGTCAGAATATAATCCAACCATCTTGGCGGACTAATTTTTTATGAAGGAAAAATGACTGTCCACGGTCTGTATAACCAAGGTTTGATTCCCGTTTTCAGTAGGGGTATCTTTCATCGACATCAGGTTCAGATCTGCTAGGGGGCCGCTCCAAAATGTATCAGACAGTTTCTCGAATGTCACAAGTAAATATTACGTAATAACAAAGAGCAAAGTCAATACAAACACTCATATTGATGGCGTCTCTACGAACCCAGAAGATGATATTATGTGTGGGCTTCAGGGCAATGTCACGGAACTTTTTTTTAACGGCGGTGCTCTCCATTTTATGAAAGAAACATGACACCACACCACAAAATTAAGATATGCCTGGTTACACATCCTTATCAACAACGCATTTCATAAATAGAGACTGACAGACGGAATTTAATGAAATTTGGCAATGACCTCATGCCATTGGCTACTTGTGGAGAGTCACACTACTTAACTCTCTGCATTCGGTGATACAAATGAGATGATTACTTGAAGGAAACCAGAGTTACTCCAAGACACTTTTAGACGTTTGCTATTATATAAATGCGAAGACTTAAGAAATATCTTTTTATAAGGTAGTATATTTGCGTCATATTGTGAATTAAGTTAATATTTTAATATTTTCCGTCAAATCACAATTTTTAATAATAATATAATAAAATATAAAATATTTAAAATATCATTTCACGTTCCGCATCGAATGATCGATTTACGACGTTCCAATTTGTAAATCGATCATTCGATGCGGAACGTGAACTGATATTTTAAATATTTTATATTTTATCATCTTATTATTAAAAATTGTGATTTGACGGAAAATATTAAAATATCTTTTCATAACTTTGTAGAACGACCAGTGGGATAAGAAGCATCTCTATACAGGAGCCAGAAACTCGCGTGCAGATGGGAAATACATAATAGCTCCTCCCCTGTTTATATATATAGTAACAGTGATTAAAATTCTAAAACAAAAATGAAATAAACTAGTTCTGAGCCATCGTGAGGAGTTGAAGATGCTGTGTTAAGATAGAAGTGGTCCAAATTAAAACCGAATCTCTCTCCCCCCTCCCATCCTTCCTTAAAATACCTTACCCTCTCCTCATCACAGCTAGCTATATGGAATCTTCAACCACCGGAAGGTATAATTTGGTACATAAGTAAGGGCCATATTAACCCATCATCCAGATCCAATGTAAAATGTACGATAAGCTGGCATCTTTAATAGAAGTAATAATTGCAGTACCTTTAGAAAGCCTTAAAGAAGGGCAGACTTCAGGTACGTAAAATCTCTTCACGTAACATTAGATACCACCCGCTGCACATGGTACGTGCCTGCATGCATCGATGCTTGAATTCGATTCGATATAACTTCAGGCGGACTTCGATATTATCGTTATTATTCGAGTGTTAACCAGTTAATGATTTCGTGATTCAGTAATAAATTTTGAATAATTTTTTGATGCGCTGTATTTAACATGATGAAATTTAGATACATAAAAAAAAATTAGTGTTTTTCTAAGTGAGCGAAGAATCACGATGGGATGACATGACGACACAAGTTATCGATTCCCGGCGGTGCCCGAATTTATAACTTGTGTTGGGCAAGGCCGTGGTCTAGGCAACACGGAGTTTTCCTCCGTGGCATCCCAACAATTACTCCATTCACACACAGAAGAAGGCAATGGCAAACCACTGCTGGATCATCTGCCAAGAACGTATATGAACAGGGCCCAGTCCGAGAAAAAGAGGGAAGGATCCTGTTCATATGGACCGGTCGTCAGACAGAACACTAAATAAAAAAATAAAAAAAATTTGTAATGTGATTTCTCAATACCGAAAATTATATTAACACACCTCGCCTTTCGGACACACATTCCTCTGACAAGAAACGTCACTACACTGAGATTTTTGCGTGCCGAATAATAAAAATTAGGCGATAATTAATTTAAGATTTAAACTATTGTTTAAAACCTGCTTGTACCCCATATGTGATATTTCGAATTTATGAATGATAAACCAGTCTTCAAATTGACTGTATTCTGGGATGTTACACAGCGTAGTGTGGTAGACGTTTAACAATGCTTCAGAGGTTCTTACTGTAGATAAAGGCAGCAGTTATCTTTGAAAAGTCGGTAAACTTCCACCAGAAATCACACCGTAACATTCAAGAAGACAAGTTATATTCACACTCACCGACGTCAAAATCTGAAACGTCACCTATTTCTTGATTTTTAACGACAAGAATTCTTTTGGTTAACGTCAGAGGAGGTTTCATCACACGAAACTCAGGTTGGAAAGGGTTTTTGGTTTCGAATTGCATTCCCGGAACATTTTGATAGCACCCGGTTTGTCCGTAACTTTTTATGGCATTCTTTAATTCTACCGGATTCATATTCAAGACCGGATCGTTCAAGGGGAATCAGAAAAAAGTACAGCAGTACTTTTATTCGGGGTCTTAGTTCAAAATCTTAATTGATCTCGATTGCAACCTGTTTTTTGTTTTTTTTTTCAAGTCTTTCGATTTACTATCCAAAGGCACAAAACGTGCTACCTGCTAGTAATCTCGAGAGATATTTTCTCCCTCCCAACACACGCTCCCATCATGCCTTCACTCTCACTACACCTGTTATGTTTTGCTGGAGCATGGACAGAGAGTCTCCTGTGGAAAAAAAATTTCGTGCAAGGATGTATGTCCGTATTTAACCGGTTGAACCAGAATTGTGAGAGACAGACATGAATTTTTTTAAAAAAAAAAAAAATTGGGGGGGGGGGGGACGTGATAGTCATTAAATGATTCTGTAAAATTGAAATCTATTTTACGTTCTTCTGTAAATGTTTTTGGAGATGGTATTGCATTGCTACATATTTTGTTCTGAATTTTGTTATTTTTTTAAAAAAATTTTAACAAAAAATTTAAAACCTTATAAAATTTGATGTTTTCAAGGAAAATTTGGGGTGGGAAAATTTACTCTGATGGATTCGATACTCTGAATAGGAGGATTTCTATCTACGCTGTTAAAAATACAGAGACATTCTGAGCTTCGCGTACTCAAGAGATGTGCAGATTACGACAGAGGATCTCAGTAGATGCGTATCTCGTCCGGAACGTCTTTGTGTATGCGGGATGAGGGAGACAGTGTGACATCTTAAGATTTCGACCACACACAGACAGAGGACAAAACCCAGGACTGTGCAATTAGTTGCTGATTTCTCTTATGTCCGCGGCAGCCAGGCTAAAAGACATTTATTTACATGTAAAACCAGTTCTGTCCTTATGAACAGACCTTATAGTAAGATTTCCCATAAACACAAATCATTAGAGATTTTCTCTATAACTCTATAATAATTGGATATTTGTCAAATACGCTTCGCAAAGAAAATTATATCTCTCAGAATCACAAGCTGATTCGAAAGATGAACTCTCCACATGAGATTTGATGATATTTTTCCTTTTTTACTGCAGTTAAAATACAGACTGCAGTCTCGTTGTGACGACATATAGCTTGCAGGTGGATACCAAGGTTTCGTAGGAAAACATCACACCCTGAAGATGGAAGCGTTATGTTCTTCCGAAACGCTAACAATCACACACAAGAATACATAGAATTATATGGGTGGGCATGTAGCACGAATGGGAGCTATGAGAAATGCTTTATAAGGGACAATACCACTTGTAATACCGAAGGATGATATTAAAATAGATCTTAAAAGTCAGGTTGAGAGGAAGGGACTTCGAGTCATCTGACTCAGGATACGGACAGGTGGAGAGCTCTTGTGAACATGGTAATGAACGTTTTTGAGTTTCGTAAAAGGCGTGAGGTTCTTGCGACTATTAGCTTCTGAATGAGAAGTTTGCTCCAAGGATTTGGTGATATACACGAAAAAAAAACTTATAATATAAAATTTATTAGAAATCAGGTCTTGTGTCGACATCAGCCCTGAAGACGGAGACAGCAAGATCTCTGAAACGTCGGTAAACTTGTCCCTGACTGCACGGCACAACCCAGAAGACAGCCAACTTGAAATTATTAACACTTTTACATGGGTTGGTATATAAAAAGAGGCTAATGTAATTTCCTTTCAAATCCTTACCTATTATACACTTTTACGTAGCCACTCGATGCAAATCCTGGGTTGGTATATGAAAAGAGGATAATGTAATTTCCTTTCAAATCCTTACCTTTTCACTTTCTAAACATTTCCCCTCCTGTTAGACTCTACATAATTTAATCACAGGGGTCTTTTAAAAATTCGGAGGACAGGTACGTTGTGTGTGTGGGTAAAGGGACCCGACTGAATCCATCTTTGTGAGTCGCCGATAAAAATTAAATCAGTTACCAAAAGCAGTCGTGTCTTTGTTTCTGTATCAGGAGCGGGTGAGAACAACAGTGACACATGTCACAAACGAAGATTATGTCCTATTTGAAAGCACAGACAACAGCTAAAGTACTTCTTACAGGTAATAAGCTCGTAGAAGCTTAAAAGAGGGGCCACTGACATACCAGAGGAAGACCAAGATGATTCAGTTCGTTACTGGCTGATCCGTTAGTTTGTTACTAGCAAAGCAGGCATGTCCCTAAGGTCATTCTTGCAAAAAAGGTCCCAGCGGTGACGTATAGAAAAGGAGTCCATCGTAAAGTCAAGTTACGTCGATATCTCGATACTAAAAAGAAAAAAAATATGAACTCGTTTCCACGAATTGTCTCCTAACGGAATCAGAAGCCGTCGAACTTGGACAAGACTGGAGCCATCTAGTGACTGGCGGTCGAACTAAACAGCGGTAAATTATGACATCTGGAGGGATGATCCAGAATTAACCTGACGAATA